ATTAATATTATTACAAATATAACCTACTGTACAGTATACATGTACATACTATTACATGTATACATTACATACGTCAATGGTTCCCTGACACAGAAGTCATTCTCCCTCTCGTGCAGTTCCCTTTGTATCAAACAGTCTCTCATGGATCCTTTCAACAGGAGGACTCCAGGATGATACCTGGAGACCCACTTGCTGTTACCATCCACTGGAGCAGCACCAGGAGACTTGGACTATGAGGGAGAAGAAAGAAACATTTAACATACATGTACATGTGCAGTATGTGTACGTTAAGATACCGTATAGTGGGTTTTTTTCGAGGATAATAAATTTCGCAAATGACCCATATCCGGAAGTTTGCGGAATTAATTTTCGCGAATTTCCACTAATCTGCCATCTTGTATCGTATTAAATTGATTTTCAAGGAATTTAATTTTGCGAATCATGAAAAAATCCGCGAAATTCGTTATCTTTGAAAATTTCCCGCTATATGGTAATGCATGTGCATTGTATTAGTGAGAATTGTGACATTAAAGTTAACAAAATTAATGATAATATTTTAGAGGCTTGGATCAATTTAACTTTTTAAATAATCATTTACTAAATTAATACACACACTATTACAATTACAGTGTTGCCATGACAACAATAAGCTCAACCCACCTTCTTCCCGTGAAACTTGTTGCTCTTAGTCTGTGGACTGGAGATAGACTGAGAGGTGACAGTAGGAGCTGATATGTGGTGAGGGGACCGATGGGACATGTTCTTTGGTACACTGGCCGGTACAGGAAGTGGGCGTATTTCTACCCCACCCCCAATAGTATTAGCAGTAGATGAGGCTATAGAGCCACCCTGTCTCATCCTTCTCTGCTTGTAGTCCAGGACTTCATACGAATCAACTGGTCTACGCTCATCAAGGTCATCCAGAGAGGCTGTCCTTTTAATGGAGGACCCACTGCCCTTCCTATCAGGAGGAGCTGTTGGGGTCATCTCCAGTTCAGAGAAACTGTTCACTAGAAAGAAGTTAGCTTCATCCTCCACCTCCTTCCTCCGCCACACCTCATCCTCTTGAGCCACGCCCTCTTTATTAAAAGGATTAGTGATCTCCGATGAAGGGCTGGGCATTAAATGGAATCCTTGAGGTCGTTCCCGTGGAAACCGAGGTGTGAGGTTACCGGGCGAAGGTGTCGATTCTTTAACACTCCGTCTGCGGATTACACAATCATCAAGAGTCTCTTGAGACTGGGCGGAGGCTAAGGGGGAGAGGCCAGGAGGTGTGGCCAACCTGTGCTCTAATTGGAGTTGCGATATGTTAGTTTCTGATAAACATGGTCTGACTGGTTTGTCAAACGGGATCAGCAAGGGAGGCCCCCTGGGGTCTGCCCTCGGGGGGACTGGGGGGTCGTATGGTAGGCGGGGCATAGATTGGGGAGTGGAGGTTTCCATGGTAACGACACAGGAGGGAGGAGAGAGAGAGGAAGTGTTATTCCTCAGCGGATCAAACTCATCAATGGAGGGCCCCTGACCACGCCCCTCATATGACTCACACACTAAGAGAGAGGGAAAGAGGTACATGTACATGTACACAACTGGCAATAAATGTGCTTAAAATTAGACAACAATTTCAATAATTTCCACCTGCACATGTACATGTACATATTAATAACTGGTATAACATAATAGAGTATGTTCATGAACTAACTGGCTAGGTCAGTCCTTCCATCAGGTCTGGGAGTAATGATGTGTCCCCAGGGCCAATTATCTGTTAACGGAGAGATAATTAACACATGTACATGTACGTGTACTTAAAGTTTGAACTGATTCTAATTATCAGTTTCTTGGCAATAAAGATATGATGTAAGCCAAAAACACAAATACACATGTACATGTACACATCAATAAAAAGATCATGTATTAATGCTACAGTACATGTATATGTGAGTGTGCATACTGACCAGGGAATCCAGACTGTATTTCTT